ATGTTGTTTGTTTTTGTGCAGCCCACATAGAGTCATGTGAAAAAGAAAGTAAAACTAAGTACACCCCACAAATTAGTAGACTGTGGAACCAGCTTTGGCAGCAATAACTGGAAGTAAAAATTTCTGTATGACTTTGTCAGTCTTCTCACCTCACTGTGGAGAATTTCTGGCTCACTCTTCTTTACAGTGTTGCTTCAGTTCTTTCAGGTTTGCGGTCATTTGTTTATGCACAGCACTATTAATATCTCACCACAGAATGTTAGTCAGGTTGAGGTCTGGACTTTAACTGGGACATTACAACATCTTGATTCTTACCTTTTTTTCTTTAGTCTCTCTATTGTAGATTTGCCGCTGTGCTTGGGATCACAGCACTGTTTCATGACCCACTTTCAGTTTTAGCCTTCAGACAGACACCCTCACGTTTGACCTTAGAATACTTGGTATACAGAGAACTTTGTGGTCAACTTCATGACTACAATGTGCCTAGGCACCGTGGCTGCAAAACTAGTCCAAATCATCACCCCTCCACCACCGTGCTTGACAGTTCATATGAGGTGCTTGTGCTGGTATGCTGTGTTTGGTTTTTGCCACATGTGGTACTGCATTATGGCCAAACATGTCCACTTTTGTCTCCTCTGTCCTAAGGACTTTATTCCAAAAGTCTTGTGGTTTAATCAGATGCAACTTTGCAAAACTAAGGTATGTTGCTATTTTCATTTTACAGAGAAGAGGCTTTTTCTGTCAAGAGTTTTAACATTTAACATTCTAACTCAGGCCTGTGGAGTCTGAGATGTAGCTCTGGGTTTTGTGCAATTTCTCTGAGCATTGCACAGTCTGATCTTGGTGTGAATTTGCTGGGACGTCCACTCCTGACATGCTAAAAGAAACCTGAATGCAAATAGCAAACTGTCAAAGCAACTGCTTTTACAGAAGTGCTCACAGTTGCTGATGCTCAGTTAGTCAAATTCACTGATTATCAGAACCCGGCTGCTACTTTTCCTCCTGATTCCTATGAAAGCCGTATTGGGTTGTTTTAAGCATCAGGTGAAAGTTTTTACTCAGTTTCACTTACAAAGGATGTTGTTTGCAGTTCCAGGTTTCATATCTCAGTGTTTAGCAACATTTTAATCTTTAATGTTTGTATATGAAGAAATAATTTTTGGGGCCATCAGGGATGTTTTTTCTTAACTGCAGAACTGTGAATGCCCGCTGACCACAGCATTTCCATCCAATAGTTCAATAAACATTTCACTCAAAACCACAAATGTAAACCTCCTGTTATCACTCACAGAGTCAAATCTCTCATAGCAGCCCATCCAGTAGATTCTGTCGTGGACAAAACCAACCAATGTTTGTTCTGGATGAAAATTTCCATTTATTTTTGTTTTAATCTCTACAATAAATGTAAGAAGGTTTTACTACACAGACATTTTTGTGGCCTTACTATGTGATCCACTAATGGAGAATATTATAAACTTGGTTAAAAACTGAAGCCAGTGGGGAAGAGATTTAAATTTATAATGTCTAAAAAATGTCTTAAATTAGCGTGGCTCTAGCTTTTCATTCAGGACAGTTCTAATCACAGAAGCTGGAAAAAGGAGATCCACTACTCAAACTGGGAAACATATTGAACAAATCTTGTTATAGCACTCAAGCAAGTGTATAGGTCACAGCAAAACCTGCCAAGAACTTTGGTTTGGGTTTTGCCATCACTCCAGTCCCGCTATTGGCTCTTATCGGCTGTAAGTTGAGGGACGATGACCTTTTCCACTGTGCCATTTGGCTCATCCTGATACCTTCAGTCTTGTTTGTCACTGGTTTCCAGAATGGTCATATGCATACATCAGGCGTGAGACAGGCAAATCAACACATTGCAGATCTGTAGGCTTGGTGACCTTTTGACCCCCGCGCTAGATAATATAGTGCGATAAACCTTTCACAGGAGACAGTCACTAGACTCAACTCTGCAGGCTATCACCAAAGCAACCCAACAAAATATTCTTTCATTTGCAGGGAAATGTTTTTAAAAACGTCAAAAAACGGAGGCGGGGAAACGCTTTTTTGTAATCAACATGTTTTTGGGTGACACCTCGGAACTTCAGCGGCAGTTAAACTCAAGAGCGTCACTTCCTGTTCCATTATCTAATGTCACAGTTCATTGAGAAAAACAGTGGCACTGCCAGTAAAATGCTAAAAGTACGTTGCAAGCTGTTCACTGCTACTCACAGACCCACCAGTATCCCAGGGGAAACCAGTCCTCCCCGAGTTAACTGAGGGGCCCTCTGTTGTCCCAAAGGCATCATGATCACTGAGCTGCCACACAATATTTAGAGGGGAAACCAAAAGAATCTCCATGACATACAGTAGACAGAAAGCTGCTGAGGCAGTGCCTTTCCCCTTGCCCTGCGCTCCACCTATCTATACTTTTTTAGGTGTACTGCTACAATCAAGTGCAATGCCCCCCACCCACTATTAGATCCCTGGCTTATCTTTGTGCATCACTACAGCAAGAGACGAAACTGCTTTGTTAATAAAAAATGCCAAAAAGCACAATCATAACAAGTAGACCAACAATTACGTTTATATGTGGCACAAATGTTGAAATGATATAAAAGTGATTTTGCATAGAATTGGATTCACAAAAATGCTGTGTATACGATCTCTTATTGATTCATCCTCTTTTTTTCCCCTGACCTGACCCTCATGTTTTGCAGGGTGGGGATGTTAACACATGGCACTGTTTTCCATCCACCGGGCAGGAAATGCATCATAGTTCATTGTGGGGGAACCGCCGTGTTTTTTTAACAGGAAAGTGTAAAAATAACTATAAGCTGGCGGTTCCAAGGCCTGGTGGGCATGCCAGCATTCAGGAATGGCGAGGCTGAAGCAAAGATGTGTTGATTATACGTAAAATATGTGAATGATCATGAGCTTTTGCTCTTGATAGAGAACTGAGAAGTGTTCGCTGTCTCGCTGAAGGGTAACAGAACCTTTCTCTTTGCTCTTTCTCTTTATCTCTATGACTAAGGAAGGGAAAGAAATTCTTCATAAAGCCACAGTGCACCAATACAATTATTTATTTCCAGAATTTGTGTCTTAAAGACCCTCCCCCCCCCAAAAAAAACCCCCCAAAAAAGCAAAGCCCTTTAGTAAAAGAAATCTCAAGGTCCTATTGAACAAGCACAAACCCCTTGAGCAGAAACCCAAAGAGAGAAAGAGAGCAGAAGAAAGAGATAGGATGAAGAGCAGCGATCCCTTTCTCCAGGCCGTAGCATCCGCTAAGGAAACTCTAGAAGACAGGGACACAAAGATATGAGCACACAACTCAGGAATGGAGGATGTTTGACGTAGTTCCCAGCATCCCCTTCTGCTAGTCCCTTCCCCTCGAAAACACTCCCCAGCACTGATTGAGCTGTTTATGTAGCTTCCAGTTATTTCAAACTAAAAAACAGGCCGATTCGTCAGTGCCTGTACATTCAAGAGTGTGCAGATTTTTAAAAGAAGTAGGTTTAACAAAGTCTGTATATATAATAATGTGTGACAAAGCTTTTCAAGTAGGGTGGTGGTGGGGGGTTAAAACAATGGGAGCTATATATGACTGAGGTTTCCCAAAGGCATTTCCTGACAACTTTCAAATCACCTTTTAAGAGAATGCAGGGGGTTACAGAGAAGGCTGCGACACTGAAAACTCAAGCAGAGTATGTTTTGTTGGGCGTGTGCGGGCTTTAATTGGCGTCTTCTGTTGGTCCACCTTTGGCTTTGTCTGCGGGCTTCTGTCCATCACGAGTGGAGTGACATCCTCACTGGCCGGATCAGCATGTTTGTGCAGGCATTAGGCAAATGTTTTCACAGCTCGTCCCCTGTACTAAATATTTCCAGGTCTGCACATTCAAATTGCAGTTTTCAGGGAGGTAGCAGGGTTTCCATGACTGTGGAAATGCGGCGCAAGTCAATGTGTTTTGTGATAATACAGGTTGGCTCCCACATAGGTGTGTTTGCGGGTGGGGGAATCCACAGAGCATACCTACACATCTTTATCCTCAGTCAAAACCCAATTTCACATCGCTCAGTCAGGTGTTTTTCTCAAACAAACCTGAAGTTTGTTTCTGCTTTATATAGAGAAAAGCAGTCTTGGTGGCATCTATGGGATGTTTACAGTCAGACCAGCTGGTTTGTCCTCTGCTGCTTTAGAGCTGCATGTGTCCTCAGTGACAAAGCAGAGAGGCATGCGCTACCACTGACAGAGGAAACCACTCCAAAACTTCAAAGGTTACTCAGAAGCCAGAATTCAGCAGCCCCTCTAAAAGCTAACCATCGGACAGGTTTGAAATCCCACCACGGTGTTAAAAGAGAAAAGGAATGGGTTACTCGTGTTATTACTTAACTGCTAATAAATCCTGACTTAAAAAGTTATAATCATATTTAAAAAAATGTGATGGGTTGCTTTGCATAGCACAAATGTGAGTGCTGAGTGAATATACTAAACCAAATGCGTTGCACTATGTGCACACAGTGAAAGTGAACTTTCCTGAAGCAAACCAAGTTGTCTAGATAAAATAAAATCACAGGTTTAAGAATTTAAGGTGTAAATATCCTGCTACAACGTCTCTAAATGCGAGTAAAACAGGGCTGGGTGTTTTTTTTTTTTAACTACAAAGGCAATTAATTGCACATCAAACCTTTGCATTTCCTGCTCAGCAGATTGTGCAAAACGCCTTACAGTGGCAATCGGTGCAATAAGACGCTAATGAGGATGTGGCCTTGATATGTTTTGTGCAAGTTTCCACTGTCTGCATATAAAGTCTAGCACGTTCAAATGTCACTCCCTAACTTTTCTTGGTCTTATGATTTCGTCCAGCTTTGCTGCTGGCGGCTCTTTTTTTAATTGGTGCTGCTTGCTGTGCTGTGGTGGTAAAGATGGTTACAGCGCATATATGCTTCTCAGCTCACGCGCACACATCCTACTGACAGCGAATGTTCACGTGCACGCACACACTCACCTTCCAGCCCGCGGAGCTGGTGCTGTCTCCTTTGTCTTTGAAGTAAGGCACGCTCTTAACCATCCAGTCGTAAATCTGAGAAAGGGTCAGCCGCTTCTCAGGTGAGCTGTCTATGGCTTTGGTGATCAGGTCTGCGTACGACATGTTCCCCCAGGCGTTTCGCCGGGACGAGCTGCTCTTCCTTTGCCCGGGTCCACCCAAAGGTGGGACCCCAGGATTTGGCACCTGTTGCTGGGACGACAGCTGTGGACCCGGGACCTGGTGCTGCTGCTGGAGCTGATGATGATGGTGTTGATGATGATGTTGGTGGGGGTAATGATGCACACAGTTGCTGTCCCGGCACTGAAAAGCACTGCAAAGCGGCTTCTGCTCTGAGTATTCTTTATAGTCCTCCTCCACCAGGTCGAGGTTTCTGATGAACTCGGCGTTTGCTGCTGGCTCCTGCTGCACAGACGGTGCTGGGGAGGATGCGTTGGAGCTGGCCGGGTCGATGAGCTCCGGCCGGTGCAGCGGCCAGGTGCAGGACCGCGGGCGAGAGAGAGGCTCGAAGTCCGGGTCTATATCCCCCGGCTGCGGCTGTTGTGGCAGTAACTCAGCCATGTCAGGGTAATGCCGATCCTCTGTCACATAGATTTTCACTTAAAAAGAATTCGCCAAATTGTTAGTAAAAAATATAAAACGGTGACATAAACATCGAGAGGCTAATGATGAGTCATCAAGGCCGAAAACAAACCCTAAAACAGAAAGAGTCGTTTGTAATGTAAAATAAAGAGATATCTAAAACTGAAGTTCACACCATACTGTGTCAGTTAGCAGCAACTCTCAAGTCTGCCGCTCTAACAAGTGGTAGACAGTACCACACTCCGGTGCTGCCTTCACGGCTTACTCACAGGCTCCATCCTCCGAGCTTTGCAACTTGAAGGTGCTTTCAAGTGCTGTCCTGTTGACAAATCACGCCAAATGGACCCTCAAATTTGCAAATTCACATCAAGGGTGATTTAACTGCCTATTTAATGCTACAGTTAATAGTTTGGGCACACTTTCTCATAGCATTGTATCTATGTATTTATTGGTGCACTTGAGTTTAAAATCTTATTCCACGATTTTCTGTGCTCGGTGCTATGAGTGACAGTCATCTCGACAAAAATAAAAAGTTGTCGTTACTCAATACCAGTTTTAAAAATATGTAGTGAAAGGGTTGGTTAGTCAGCTATCTCTTTCAGTTCGCTTGTCATTCAAACACATTTTGGCGGGACTTGAATGCACCATACAAGCTGAGAGGGCATGTTTTTAGTTTCAAAACGTTTTGAGTGAGGGCTCAGCTGATTCAAAACACTGCCCTAAGCTTAAAAAAAGTTTTTTTTACTTCTATACAAATATAGCAAAAAAAATGTTAATGTACTCCTAAACTTTTTTTAGTTGAAGTATCTGGGTGCCATCTTTAAAACTGTGGGGAATCCTAATTTAATGCGCAACCACAATGTTCAGTAGTGCCATCTAGTGGGCAAGCCTTAGCAAGTCTACACGAGTCCCCCCCGCCGCACTGCATTGCCCAGACAAACAGAAACCAGGAAGCGTTGCCAACATCTTATCATGCCAATCACTCTGTTTAAGGAAAAGTGAACAAAATGTGGAAGTGGGGCACTTTGAAACATCAACCTGTCAGTTTCCACTTTCTCAGACAATAGATCGAGCAGGGTGTTTTTAGACCAGAAAGGATCCGTGTGGCACGTTGTTAAACAGGTTGTTTAACTTTAAAAGCACTTCCCCTGAGAAGGGGTACAGGGTTCACGGTCTGATTGTGTTTTCTACTGTAAACTTGATCTCAGATCCTCAATACTGCTCACAGGTTATAGTTCTTGCAACCGGTCTGGGAAAACACAATCACTCATGACTGCAAGGTGTTTGTATGACCTGTGACACTTAAAGAATACGAAAATATTTTCATCTGCACATTTTCTTTGTCACACAAAGGTCATTAACAATCCATTCAGCTAAAGTGTTACTTGTTTTTAAAGTCAGTTACTCTAATTAGACACAAAAGGAAACCTTTTATAACAATATTTCAGTGTAACAAGAATAAATCAACACAACCATTTTATTTACATCACTTAATACCACTTGTGAATCACAAAAATATTGCATTGACTGTGTGTGCAGCAACATTTCACTTCCTTTCAGGGCATTTTTCTCAATAGCGTGACATCCAATATCTCCACTAAGTTCTCTCCTGCAAGAGTCGAGAAACCAGGAAGGTTTTGACTGCCGCATAAACTGTATGAGTAATGATCACGGTGGCAAAGTCTCGCTTTAAAGTGTTGTTTTTATGTGACCACAAAGAGCAAATGCAGACATATTAAACCGTGTTAAGTTTATTCAAGGTAAACATCAGCCTCCTTAAGCACTTCCTCTTTTTGATGGAAGTAGTCTCTAAACCAGGATATATGCTCCTTCTTCTGCTGCACAGTCAGGTAGGGGTTTCTGGCCAGGCCGGTCACTACTAGCTCCATGAAGTGACGCACTGGCCCCTCACGAGGGAAGCCCTCCTCCAAGTGCTTCTCTAAGAAGACGTGCTCATGGAATGGGACCTTGGCTTCCTCTTCGAGGCCTAACACAGCAAGAATGAATAGTCAGTTTCTCTCTCAGAAAAATTTATTTTCCCCTCTTTTAAAAATAATGAAGTCAACCTTCGTTACTCACCAGCTTCATTGTTTACTGGGTACTGCCATAGTTTCCCTTCTTTGGTCCACTGGATCATTTCCTCAAACCCATTTCGAGGCATCTGATTGGTCGATAGAGACAACTGATTTGCAAAGTCCATGTCCCACAAAGTTGGCTTAGCTGAAAACATGATACAATGACGTTAAAAGCAAAAGATTTTGCACTGTGACATGAAATATGTTTACGGAGTGACAGGCATTAAAAGCATCACAGTCTTGACAAGCATTATTAAAGCGCCATGCTTAACATGTTTGATACTGTGTCATGTTTCATCAGTTTAAGCTTGAAAAATCAACTGTTACTTGCTTACTAGAAGTCTTCATGAGGAAGACCACTGTTAAGTCAGTGATCTTCTGGTGTGGTGCATACATTTTGAAGACAAACTTTAAAAATGTTTATTTTTAGGTGTTAACAATGAGACAAGTAACACCAAAAAGTGGCCTCTGTAAGCAAACATATGAAATGAACAGTAAGCTTTAAATTGAAAAAAAAAAGAAAGAAAAGAAAATCTAAATCCATCAATACTTGCTGCTGGTTCAATTCCATCTTCATCAGCAGCAGAGGTGAAGATGTTAAGTCTTTTCCCTAGCAACAAGTTCCTCCTTAAAAAAAGAAAGACATTCGACACAAGATCCATTAAAAACAACAACAACAAAAACACAACAAAATCAGTGTGAAGAGCTGATAAAAATGTTACCGTTTCCGAACACCGGACAGCTCGGAAGTGATTCCTCTGTGATGTGTATATCCTCGCCCGTCGTCATCAAACCGGATCTGATCGGCTGGCCAGGCATTCTGCCGGTTAGGATTCTTGCCTACTTTCATTTCAGCGATAATCACTCTGAGAAAATATTGTTTGATTCTTTTTTGTTAAATAAGCTTTTCAGAAAAGAAAAAAAAGGGGGGGGGGGGGGGGATAACAATCTCATTAACTACAGTTATTGGGGACATACCCGAGGTTGTTAATGTCGCCTTTCTTCTGAGCCTCAGTGATTGCCTCGTGCTGCCTCAGCTGCCTGAGCAGCTCAGATTCAGCCTGGCTGCGGTTAGGCAGAGTGGAGGCAGCAGCAGATGCAGCAGCAACCAGATCAGGATCCAAAGTCTCACTAAAAACACAACCCAGGGGGGCACAAATGAGTGAATGAAATGTGACAAAAGTATAGCTCCTAAGGTTTGGTTTTTAATTGTATGGACATAAGTATTGGGCTACTCTGAATCTCCAATCAATCACTGGGCCATGCAGTATACCTTTACAAACATTTGTGAATGAATGAGTCATTCTAAGGAGTTCACTGAAATCAAGTAGCTGTAATAATATGCAACAAGTCACATTAGTGGAGTTTCTTCCCTTCTCGAGATTCCACACTCAGCTGTATGTGGTATTGTTACAAGGGAGAAACATTTTGGAACTACAGCAACTTAGCCATGAGCTGAGTCACCAAGTACTGAGGCGCACAGTGCATAGCACAGACTAAACCTCCTCTGGCATTACAATCAGCACAAAAACTGTGTGCTGGGAGCTGGATGGCATAGGTTTCCATAGTTGAGCAGTTTGTGTAGGTCTAACATCTAGGTAGCCCAGTGCTTTCCATGTGATGTAAGTAACTATAGATGAAATAAACTTGAAAGAGAATCATGTGGAGTGACTGCTGTTGTCATCTTACAACTTTGTGGCCAATGGTGTGAATAACACGAAAAAGTTCATTAAGGCAATACAACCCTTCTCCGACTTCTCTCACCTCTGTGATGAATCATCCTTCGTAGCCTTCTGATACATACTGATGGTGCTCTCCATAGGTGCCGCCTTTGGCTTATATTGTGTAACTGACTCATAACTTTGCTTTGCCTTCAGGTTTTTTAACTTCCTTTTGTTGGTGACTTCTACTTTCATGGCTCCAAGAAGATTCAGGAGATTCTCCTTCCCACTCTTAGCTGCATCATTCTTCGTTTTCGCTGGCTGCTTTGATGCAACCTGTTCAGTTTTAACATCTGTCTGCTGCTCTGTGGCGTCTCCATCATCTGCCTTTAACACCGCTGGCTCCTCCCTCAATTCGACCACCTCTGCTTGGCCACCCTCTTTAACTGCCTGTGTTTTCTGGTCTTGGTTATTCTTCTTTTCACAGAGCAAGCTTGAACTTGTGCTGAAGGTTTTTACCCCACATTTATTTGTAACCCTGTGTTGAGAGATAAACAGATTTGTGCATCAGAAGGAGCCAAATCTGAAAAGGTCACGATTCACACTTTTGATAATTATTACATTAACACAATATCATCAATATCGAATGTAATAAATGCTAAGGAGGGGGCAACAGTGTCTGGAAAAAATAACATTATTATACATTATAGACTTGTATGCAATTCCATGCAGTTTTAATCTACACCATTTACAAGCATACCGCTTAAAGACAACATGACAACTTGTGATGCTTTGCATGCATCTTATATACTTATATTATATACATATTAGTCTGTGCATCTATATGAATCAAACTTTTTTTTTTCAGGTCCGTGCGATTGACTTCACATACACGTTACCATGGAAACAATCGCCTGAAGAGCTGTCAGTCAAGACGTCCATCCCCCTCTTTAGGCTAGAATAAGCTAGTTGCTAGCCACATGCCACTCTTGTTTAACGAAACAAGCAAAACTCAGCATATTTCGTTTGTACTGTGGCAACCTGTTCTTTGACATTAAGAAGCTCGGCAGCTGAGTCTCACGGTCATTAGTTACTCTGTTTCACAGTGTGGCCCGTTCAATCACAGCTAACAGTCACATCGTTACCTCACCTGAAAACCGTCTTGTCACATTTAGCTGCTAAAACACACGAGTCGTAGACATTGGATGAAGAACTTCGAGGCGCCACCAAAGTCCGAAATATAATTCTGTACATTGTGGCTTGTTGTAATGTCCTTCCACGCTCGTCGTTTACCTCCGTTGTTACCACATAAGGTCACCCCTGTAAACTTTAAGAGAATAACAGTTCCGTTCCAGGATGTGCAAAGACTCGATGTTTGTTCTTCAACGTAAGAGTGCCGAGTTTTAATTTAGTCTGGATTTATTTGTAAAATTGGCAATCTCAGTATTAAAGTAAAT